ACATTTCGGCTGTGGTTGGTGAAAAACTGATTGATTTGCTGTAGTGATGGTACTAAAGTGTAGCATACTTTCCCTACTATGCCAGATCACAGTGACCACCCCCGAGTACCATCCAGCATGGTGAGGAATAAGCCAGGACAGTCAACCATGAGACAGGAACACTTGTGACCAATTAGTGCACAGAGCAGAGGAGGGAACGGGCAACATCCCAGCGGGCTGCTGCTAAATAGACAGGCTGTCATCAAGACCAGGCTCTGAGACGCTCAATGAATTCTCACATGTCCACTGCCCGTCTGTAGTCCGGCCACACACGCACTCACACACACACACACACACACACACACACTAACAACATCTCTTGGCTCCAGTAAAACTGAGAGGTAGTCCCAACACAGCTTCCTAACATCACAACACAACAGGAGCAGAGGATGCATTGCACTAGACCCCCCCCCCCCCCCACACACAGACAGGATTGTCCAAAAGGGCATGTCAGGGTCCCCCCCCTTTCTTCTGTGTATATGTGTTTGGTTGTATATGGCTCTGTGTGTGAGAGTTTGGGGGGGTTAGCTTAGAGTTCAGTCCTTGCTGACCATATGTCTGCATTGCAGGGAGTCGGATTGGGGGTTTAGGTCTACAATCTGCCAAGGGTTTGAGAATGCCAATAATTTGTAAATAGGCCTGTGATCCCCGGTCGAAGGGTTAAGTGCAGCCTCTGTCCTGGGAAAGCCCCAGTGGAGCAGATATATGAGAACCTAATGTCCAACTCCAACCTAACTTCCCATGAAACTAACGGCTCCCTTTTTTTTGCAATCACCCCCTGATCTTCCTCTCCGTCTTTACCTTTGCCAGGACTTGAAGAAAGTTTAAGAAGCTCTCTGGGAGAGTCCAGTCCTTCTGTGGCCCTGGTTCCAGTCCTGGACTTGCCTGATTCCCAGATCCTCCACCTGTCCTGCTGGCTCAGTTTATAGAAACACAGCCAGCGTCAACAACCAGACTCCAGTCATCCACATCACTGGAATTCATTTGGGCTTTTCTGAAGGAGTGACTCTGACAGCCCAACACCTAATGACTTACAACAGGTCATCAGTGAATGTGGAAAATAAAAACTGAATAACTGCTCATTAATGTTGACTGTTTGTCACTGCTGATTGTTGAAATGCAAAGCTGTGTCTGTCTGCAAGTGGTTTTGATCATGTGCGGTTCTGAGGATGTGTTTATTCCACTTCATATCCCAGAACCTATACGCTTATAATTCACTTTGTCCTCCCCTGGAGTTGAATACTGCAGCAGCTGTTATTCTGCCTCGGAGAAGAGTCTTATGGAACCTCTATAACCTGAAGCTGCATACCAGAGGACTGGAGACCGTAGTCTACAAAAGGAGACACCAGCAGTGTCTCCTTCCACGAGGCGATAAACTGTACCCCCTGATATCCCACTGTTTCTGCTGGAATTTCTCTCACCACGTCAGCTAACACCCCTCATAAAGGCCTAGCGCCACCGCTAACACCATCTGTTCAGTTGTAAACCTGTAGATTTACTGTGTGACTGTTTGTGGCAGTGTGTAATGTGTGCGGATGAGGGGGACTGTGTTCCCCGCTCTCATGCTCTATGGGATTCAAGGTGTGTTATTATTGTGTAATAGGCAATCAGCACCGAGCACCTGAAAAGATTAAGCCTCTTTATGTTTTCTATTGATTCTAAGGCAACCTGGTTAATGGGAGAGGGACACTACAACACACAGTTGCAGGGCAGGCGTGTGCGTTTGTGTGTGTGTGTGTAAGCGCTGGGGCTGTCAATGGACATTGTGACGATGTGGGAAGAAAACAACACTATTAACCATTGCTCCTGGAACATTTCTTTTCTCAAAGATCATGAACCGTATTGATGATGGAGTTGGAATGCTTCTTCACTCCGGCTATTCTCTTCATTGTGCTTGTGATGGCGGCAGAGTGGAGTGAGCTATTGATCTTCACCCCAGCCGCAATGTTCTTTTGATTGTTGTTATCAAAAATTGAACAATAGAGGCAGCCAATAGGGCCTGAAGATTTTTATTGAGGGTTTGAAAAACACAAACAAGCAATTATTTATGAGAAAGAGCAAGCCGATGCCCCATAAATATACAGTGTGTGTTAATGTGCACTTGTTTGGTTTTAAAGGGCCTCACCAGGGGGACATTCAGAATTGTTGAATGATGCAGCTGTCCAATGCACACTATGATATAGGTGTGTTTTAATACAGTACTTTCATTATATACTTGTACCACCCCAGTCAAGTAAACACCGATACATTTATTCCACAAATATTTGATTATATTTCAGTGTTTTCAATAAATGGAGCTGTTAAGATTTGGCAATGACACAAAATAGCTGAAGAAGACATCCCACTAAGAAGGTTTTCTTTGTCAGTTGTAGTCTTTAAAATGTCTAAATGTGTGTAACAGTCTGAATGCCAAACAAGACTGTGCTGAGCAAACGTGCATGTTCAGCAGTCTTGGTAAACATACAGGAAAGATTGAGAAATGTTTTTTTGTCCAAATTGATCAATGGAAATAAAGAAACGGCACACACCAGCCCAATGCATCGCAATTAAATATGTCCACTGCATTTAACTCTATTATTAAAATCCCACATTTGCAAGACATTTCTGTATTGAGGTTTGAATGCATGTGCTTTTATTCCTCTTAGTGGAGCAACGGTTAAATTACAAAGGCTTCATAGCACGGCAATACAAGACTAAACATTTCTGTAAACGCAGAGGAGCGCTGCCACTAAAATTCTGTGCACGACCGCCACTTGTCGATCACACTATAAACAATACATTCTGTCTTTCAGCGGGCCTGTTTTCATGCAGGCACAGGCAAAGCAACAAATATCATCACACCCTCATCATAGCCCATGTGATGGCCTGTGGCAGACACATTTCTTTGTGTTTTTACCTCTGTGTGTCCTCACAAAATGAATAAAGACAGGGTGACATTTAGTTTTCTCATGTGTTTTGTCAAATGTATATTTTCTGCCAAGCTGACCTGAAACCGCTCTGCAAACAAACTGGTTGTTGTGGCTAACGTTGTCCTTTGTGCACAGTGTAGCAGCCTGCGGCTCTTGTCATTGTGGCCTTGCACATGGACTTTAACTGTGTGTTTCTTCCTCCAGGCTAATCAGGCTGATGTGTGTGACTCTCTTTCCCCATAGCAGTGGGCCACAGTAGGGGAGCCCAGCTCAGAAGCGGCCACATTGCACGAGATGCCTCTTGAAAATGTGGTCTGTTTGCCTCAGTGACTGTGGTTTTGTTTGTTTGCATATTTGAATCATTTTTGTTACAAAATGTATTGTTTTCTTCCCCTGACATTTTGTGAAAGCATGTCTTCATGGTCACAGCACTGACTGAATGAAACTTGTTCTAACTGTTGAACTGGTAAGCCATCACATGCTATTAAGTGGTGTCTGCTGCCCTCTTGTGGTCAACATAAACAGTGTAATTTAAAAGCTAAATAGTTTTCAATTCCATTCGTGCAGTATTTCTACGATACCGAGTCCCACAAATGTATACATTAAGCCATTAAGCATTAAAACAAGAAATATTTTACATGTATCTCTCTTCTATAATAGATCACTGATATATTCGGCTCAATGTTTTGCGTTAAGACACTAAAACATAGAATTATTTTCTAAACATTTCAATTTTTTTTTTGTATTTTGAATTAATGGAAGTATTTGCATTTTAGTTTTTTTTTTATTCTTGATGGTCAACAACTCAGCGTTATATTATAGTATATTACGTATCTTTAATTAAACATAAATAAACATGATTTAATATTTTGCTGTGCAAATTTCATCTTTTAGACATTTTCTTGAATAACAACTTAATCAACAATGACAATGATTCATTTTTGTCGATTAACTAATCGATTTTACTTCTACTACATATAGGAATATCAAATGACCAGAAAAACTGAGGGGAAAACCATATTCATATATGTAAATCCAACAGGGTTTGAAAGCCTTTGGTTGATCTGCCTGGGTCTTGCTAGACTAAACTAGGTTCACAGACCAAAACCCTAAGACACAACACACAATTGAATCACAATGCTGTCTATTGGTAAGGCCTACCTCTGAAAAGTGACATTATTATATTTTATTAAACCTGCCAAAACAAAGGAATGGATATGTACAACAAATCCAAACAACACTTGGCGCAGGACAGACAAGCAAATCCCTCGGCTCAGAACTCAGAATTGTATATACATTTATAGAATAATAAATAAATGTGTGAACCAAAATGAACATATCAGAGGGAACAGCTGGTTTAAATATGAAGTGGAAAAGCCCATCGCATGTGAAATTAACAGAGGAGGACTGCTAACCCACCAGGCTGCTGCTTACAACACTGGTACAACATCACTGCCTTTTACATTACTATTACAGTCAGAAGGCATGATTTGTTGAGCCATCTGAATAGGAAAAATGTATAATTAGTGTACTTTTCACACCATAGCCTATGCTCTGTAAGCTGGATATTTTATGTAATGGGCTACATACACTGATGTGATGATGTACAGTAAAAAATTAAACATGATTGTGATAAGGGTCTCTTTATATTTGTTCCTCATTAATAAAACAAAAATGTTTAAGTACGGGCACGTTTTCACAGAGGTGCTATATGATTGCAATAAAGTCGTCGATGTCTGTGCCAAGTTGTGGCGCAAGGTTTGATATCCATCAGCCTTGGCCTATCTAACGTGGGGCACAGCAGAACACTTTGTTTTGACCTACAAATGAAAGTAGGCCGAGCAGAGTTATTGAAAGGGTTTGTCATTATATGGGTAGGTTTAGCATCATAATGGCATGGTCGTATCATTTCGCATAGCCAATCTATAAAAAAATAACACCCGTTGTCATGTGGTATCCCGCTCTGGCACGGACCGAAAACCTTTGTTTCCGGCCGTACATTTTTGAGGGACGTACATATTTGTTTGCCAGAGTAACATCCGGTGACGTCATCGACGTATTGTTAGCAAGAAAGCTAACGAGCTACAGACGCTGCCAACTTCTGATGAATTCAAGAGTTATAATAGGACCGCAGGCAGCTTCAAACGTATTTAGTAAGTACGTTTGACTGGATTATATATTATATGTTCTATATTAGTCATCCAACATAAGGCTTGTTAGCCACCTGCTGCAGATTCCCGCAGGCTATACTGTTACCGCCTTTGTCAAATTCCTAAAACAGTAAACATAGTTTGAATGTTAATTATAGCGAGGTTAGTTGCATTTTATTTATGGAATCACATGTATCCTATTGTCATCGCATTCATTGTAATTCACGCATGCTTACTTTAGGTTTTAATGCTTTATTTTCTTCTCTAGGTCTAATGAGAGGATAACCACTTGGGACAGGGAACAAAAATCCCGAATGTGGTGATTTGAAAATGCATCCGTGCCCTGTTTGTCCGAAATCTTTCCCGTCACCATCTAAACTTCAGAGACATTATCTCATCCACACTGGCCAGAAGCCCTTCGTCTGCACAATCTGTGGAAAATCTTTCACACAGTCTGATCATTTAAAAACACACTTGCAGAAAGTCCACCACCCAAGGCTTCCAACAGACTGTCTACTACAGGATGGCATTGTAACGCATAACCAACAAGCAAATAATAATAAACCAGCAGCAGGGATTAACACACGTGGCAGTTGTAATTACAATGTAATGCCTTCGATTGTGTCATCTCCTGTGGCCTCCCAGCTGGAGTGGAAAAGAGAAAATGTGGCTCTCAAAACTGGAAATCCACCTAAAAATATGCCACATGTAAATGATGCCTTGAAGACTCGGAGCAGTATCTCACATGTTATGGATCCAATAACTCAGGAGCAAGTTGATTCTGCAAAAGGAGACGCATCTGTATGCAATGCCCACAATGGATACACCTGCAAAGTCCGCTTGAAGTCGTTTACTTCATCTCCTCACCGTTGGATTCGATCTCCAACTCATAACAAACCAAAACAATTTGAGATGAGCAGAGAGTCAGGCCAGACTTTTTCTAAACAGGCCCATTCGAAAGGGCCCCTGCAGTCACAAGAATTGAGCTCCAGCGGAAGCAAAATGACTTTGAAGCACCAGTGTCCTAAATGTCTCAAAACCTTCTGCTCACCATCCAAATTGCAACGGCATTTCCTTATTCATACGGGGATGAAACCCTACTCGTGCATGATCTGCCGGAAAGCCTTCAGACAGAAGGTACACTTGACATCTCATTTAAGTGCAGAAAATGAATGTTCACTTTCTGTCGGTACTGAAAGGAAAAAGCAAAGGTTTTGTAATGTCAGACGAGCCTCAGGTCTGCAGCTTCAGTCGTCATTTCAGCAACGTCCCACCGGCCATCGCAATCGTGTGAATTCCTCAGTGGAACTGGAGCTACAGTGTAAAATAAATGTAAATGCTGTGCGGGACCTGGTCGAGACCGAAATCAAGTCGGAAGCAGCCATAGAACCAGAGCAATCGTTCAATCAGTCAGATGAACAGGAGCAGCAACGCTTCACACAGCAGTCCTTGAAACCATTCCAGAGCATGATTTGCAACAGGTCCTTGCAGTTGGAAGGTAATTCAGTGCGTCATCATAACATTTGTAGGAACCTAAAAGAGTTGGGAACTCCTACCACTGTGCAAAACAGCGATAATGTGAAAATGTCTGATTCTGAAGAAATACATCATTTACCTCATTTATTTTCTAGATCCCGTTGACTTGAACATCATCGTCAAACCAGAAACATGGAGCGTGAACTGCAGTGATTGCAACGACCCTCTTCCTCGGGATTGTGAGGTAATCGCATCAGCAGAACGGCAGAGGGAAACCTGCAATGCCGCCAGCGAGCGGCAGAAGATACATCGCTGCCATACGTGTTTAAAATGTTTTCCGTCAGTATCAAAACTCCAAAGGCACATGATGACTCATACCGGACAAAGGCCCTTTGGCTGTGAGATATGTGGAAAGAGGTTTCGTCAGAAAACACACTTGAGGGTCCATTGTCGCACACACCTGTGGTCTAGATATCACAAACAACGATCATTGTATATCAATCGGCTGCCTTCTTGCAGAGGTGGGTTCAACAGAAGGATTGCAGCAGACGTCCCAGTCCAGGAAATGTTACTACGTAAGGATTTTGAGACACACACTGGCAGCGATGTAGTCTCCCTGAAACACCTGGATCAGACCCCCTCCATGGTAATTATTCAGAATGACAACCGGGTATCCGATACGATGTTGCCACTTATCTCAAAGAAAAATGAGGTTGTGCGAAAGGTTTCCACAGTGAGTGTGAAAAGGACACATACTGCCAATTCAATGCAAAATCCAGGCAATGTGCAATACAAGTGCTTCCAGTGTTTAAAGTGTTTCCCAAGTGCCTCTAAATTAGAAAGGCATGAGATGGTACACACAGGCTTGAAACCATTTCACTGTGTTTTGTGTGGGAAAGCATTTAGGCAAGCTTCACATCTGAAAACCCACGAAAGAACTCACTGTGAGAGGAAACCGTCCAAGCCAGTCAATCAACAGGAGAACGTTAGAAAAGTGAAAGCAGATAGCCAACGGCAGCCAAGGATCAGTGTTCAGATCCCTCGACAGAATATATCCGTGAACAAAGACGGTACACGTTTAAATTCTCATGTTGCAGAAGGTAATGAAGTGAGTGCATTGCTGTGCACCAGGCCCGCAATATCTATCACAAAAGTGAACAATCTCCTTAAGACAAACTCTAAAAGTAACATAACTTGTAAAAAAAGGAAAGTTCACACATGCCGAATATGCTTTAAGACCTTTGCGTTTCCGTACAAGCTCTCAAGGCACTTGGTCACTCACTCTGGGATGAGGCCGTACAATTGCTCCTCGTGCAGCAAAACCTTCACACAGCTTGGACATCTAAAAGTTCACGAGAACAGATGCAGACAGGGTGACACGGTCTCACATTATATTCAAGGAGAAATGATAAATACTAACCATCTCCAGGATAAATGCCTTGATAACCTCAGTGATTGTACAGATTTGAATGTGGATGCAACAAGAGAGCAGGTGGAGTCACATTATACAAGTGTTGGAAGAGGTTCATCTTGTTTCTCAGAGGCAATACACACTGAATGGTTGGCAGGTTCAGAAGTAGGCTTACAAGAGGAGAACAATGAATTTGGGAAAAAGCTCAGAGATGAGAGTTATCAGGCTTCGTGCAACTATGATCCGGCTACAGACCATTATTCATTTCCCTCTGAACTTTCCATTGAAATAGATAAGCTTGTCCAAAATCAAAACATGGCCGCTCCACTTTTCTCACAGTATGAGAGCAATGCACATAATGTAGAAGTAGCATGCCAACCTACAGGCAACAAGCTGCTTAATGATGAACCTGTCACTTTGGTGGTTGAGAATCAAATGCATCCAGACGATTACTGGTGTGAACCACTGAATGTGTTTGAATGTGACGTGTGCTCTGCAAGTCTTGAGAGCGAAAACGATCTTGAGCAACATATTTGTTCGACTAATGTTCAACCTAAAGTGACAGAGTCAGCTCGGAAGAATCGTTGTGACATTTGCTTCAAACATTTTGTTTCTCCCTCCAAACTTGAAAGGCATTATCTTATCCACACAGGGCTGAGGCCGTTTCGGTGTGACATTTGTGGCAAAACGTTCACACAGTCATCACACGTCAGAACACACCGACTGACTCATTGATATTAATCAACATTACTGTGTAATATTTGTTTTCGGGGGATGAACTTGTATTTATGATGATCATGATTTGTCAGTAACATGATATTGCACTGTGTTGATTGTTTCATGTTATGCACCACCTGTCATGTCAAAATCCTTGTATGTGCAACATACTTTGGCAATAAATGGTTCTGATTCTGATATTTGAGTTTACTGTATGTATGTAAAATATGTAATAAATGTCCAAATATACGGACCTATATATTTTTGTATTAAATTCATTCATATTTTATTGTGCCTCTTGTTGAATTCGTTTTGGTTTTGTTACATTTATTGGTATATTTTATGATAGCCTCTACGTACCTAAATTAGTTTGTTGTTATTATTACACAGTAGGAACGAAAGACTTGCTTTCGTACTTGGGGACGATTTTAGGGACGTACCTGTTCAGGAAGTCAGTCGCAGTCAGCGCGTTTTGGTTGTGTACATGCGTAACCAGTCGTCCAACGGCACTTACATTCATGCGGAAATAAACAAAGGTTCGTGAGCTGATTTAGTTATTATTCATATGTTAGCGTACGCTATGGGTCTATCATTAATGTTATTATAACTTATCCCCGAGTCAGCCTCCATATTCTAATTAGCTTAGCTTAGCTCATCACCTAACGTTAGCTAGTATTGTGGAGCAGTTTAGGTTATCCAGTGTTCGTATTTTACGACGCCTGCTATATTTATAAAGATACATAATAGAAACGTTTAGCATTGATATTGTCTTTATTAAAGTATCGGAAAAACGTAAGAATATTAGCGCTATAATGTTAAGAATTGCACACACATTTGACCCACTGAAGTTTTTAACCTAGCTAAAGTTAGCCACACTTCTCAGCACTGTTCATGTGTATAGTGGCTCCATGTTTTAAGGCGTTAGTTCAATACAAATAGCTAAGTCTAAAGCCTGTTGGTGTCCATCAGTAACTTCATATAATCTCTTATCTTTCCCACAGCTTTCATTGTAGCAGCTTGAGAGGGCCACCATGGAGAAAGAAACCCCAACTAAAAAGGCTTCAGCGCCTTCTGTGTCTCAGATTAATGCAGAATATGTCACACAGGTAATGAATTATTGCCCACGAAACGTTACAACACCGTTGTGTTGAAATACATGATCCCATTGTGTTTTTATGCTAAATACAGATTACCTCCTCACATGCCATCAGTTGTATGCATTTCCTGGCTTACACAGAAGATCTTACTACAGAGATGGTACTAATATGTGAGGAGTGTGCCTGTGACAGAGTATGTGTGCTGTGGATCACATCATGTTCAGTCTAGAAGAGAGTCAATTTAAATTGGAAAATTAACCAGAAGAGTATAAATCCAATCCAGAAAACCACAAAAGTAGTTCCTTATCTAGTTGAACATCTGAGTATTCCAACTGTACACACGCTGTAAAACATCATGTGTACCGTATGAACCTTGGATGTTTATGCTGCAGTTTGTTACTGCTGTTGATGTTATTGTTTCTTGTTTCAGTTGGCTAATAAATATTGGGCTCCGCATGCAAAGAATAAACTTCCCTTTGACGCCAAGGTGAGTTTTCTGCATTGCTGCATCTTATAGGTGTCAATATCATTTTTGTAGTGAAACTGATTTTTACAACGTAAGTTGCAAACACATGTTCTATGCACTGTATTTCTCATAGTGTTAGTTACTTGTGTGTTTTAGTTTGATACAATAAAGAGGTGTTTAGGGCTGCTGGTACTAGTCATTCTGATGGGGGGGTTCTCTGTTCTCTGCTGTTTGTTTAGGTGATGGAAGATGTTTATGAAACAGAGATTCTCAAGTCCAAGTAAGTAAATATGTCGCATATTTCACATAAGCTGCTGTGCGCAATCCAATGAACACATGTTACTCTTATTTATCTCGCTCTGTTGTCTTCTTTCACTCACATTTTCAGATTTGCCATCAGAAAAATCATGCTGCTTGAGTTCAGGTGGGATACTTCACTTCCTCTTTTTAACGAAGCAGTCATTATATAAAAAAAAGTTGATGGATATATATTCATGAATGATTTTCTCACCTTTCAGCCAGTATCTTGAGAACTATCTGTGGGTGAACTACACTCCCAAGGTGTCCAGCAATGCCTACCTCATGTCCATCTGTTGCATCGTCAACGAGAAATTCAGAGAGAATGTCCCCGCTTGGGAGGTAAGAACTGAAGCGCCTCATCTAAGACTACCTGTCATTGCACGGGGACCCCAGCGCCCGAAGAGACCGTGTTTATACGAGTAACTGTAAAGATGGTGTAGGCACAGTCTTACAGTTGCCATTTAAATTGATGCCTATCTACAATATATTTTTCTTCTTTTGAATTGTGTGTTTCAGGTGTTCAAGAGGGAGACCAGCCATTTCCCGTTCTTCTTTAAATGTATGATGGAAGCTGTGTTGGCAGGGGAGGAGGCTGGCCTCACACTGAAGGAGCAAACGGTGCTGCTGGTCTTCTTGGACCACTGTTTCAACAGTCTGGTGTGTGTTCAATGTTTTCACTCAGTGGAGGAGTATCTAACTTCTAAATGTGTTATGCTGCTGCTTTTAAGGTCAATGAGGATGTTAGTTTTCATGTCAGTACAAAGATTACTGGGAGTAATATTTTGATTACAATATTTAAATGGTTTAAGGTAAGATGGCATGTCAATTTAAAATTGAAAAAAATAATTCTGTATTGCTTATCTTTTTATATATAGCAAAGAGCAGCCGTGGTAATATCAACCACCCTATCGAGCATTTTCTTTATAATAAAAATGTCATTATATCATGAATCAGGGTTTCTAGACATGGCAGGAGTGTTTATTAGTGTACGTCTGGATACGATCATTTAAAAGCTAAACTTCACATAACGAGTACAGTTGAATATGAGAACTTTGATTACTTATTTCACTGTGGTATATTATTTTGCTGTGTACAACATCTGGGTCCAGACTCCAGGGACAGATGATAGTTTGTCAAATACACTAAAATATGGAAGAGAACTGTTCTCCATTGTTTGAGGATTTGATTAACCAGGGTTTTGTTTTAAACAGGTTATGGCGTCTCACTCATTATTTGTAAGCAATGCCAAAAAGCCTTGTCCAAGTTAAATGTGTCATTTAAGGGAAAGTATTGGTAATATCCACTAGGGGGCAGTAGCAGACTAGGCAGGACCACTTTGGCCAGCTCCCACCCCTCTGCAGCCTCATTAAACCACAGGGAAGCACTGCAGATGTCTCACTTTAAAATGTGCTGCGATAGCCTGCTGCACTTTGATTGTATCCTATAAAGCCCTCTAAATATTTCAGTTGCAGAATTTTATCAGGGGCTGAAGTGTAATAACAATCTGTCATACACATGCAGTGCATTTTGACAACTCTCTCTCTCTCTGTGTGTGTGTGTGTGTGTGTGTGTGTGTGTGTGTGTGTGTGTGTGTG